CCGCGCGCCGGGTCCTGCTCCTGTTTGTTCCTCAGAGGCGAATGAGAGAGTGAGTTCGCTGGCGTGTCTCCGTGCGTCCCTCCTGCTTTACACCCTTGTCTGTGGAGCAGTTTAGGCACGACTGCTCCTGTTGCTCTGCCCTCTTGATGCTAACCTGTTTTGTACAGGCCCCGCTCTCTTGAGCGTTGTCTTAGTCTAGCTTGCTACCCTGTTTTCTTCCCATGTGTTTGCCCTATACCATTTCCTTTTTAGGTAAGTAATAGCTCTAAAAGCTCTGCAGCGTTCTTCTGATAACTAGTAGTTTGAGCCCCATGGTCTGTAGTAGTGCTTCACAGCTCTCTCTCTGTGGGTGCATAAAAGAAGGATGTAAACTGCAAATTGTGCATTAAATAGTGGGAGCATATTCTCCTTCTTGTGTACCACCGGTATGAACACACATAGTGCATTTTCCCTTTCTAAATGCCTTCTCCAGTTGCTTCTCTACCTGTTAATTATATCAATCTTGGATTCCTTTTAGGAGGCAGAAATAGCATATGGTTCTTCTTAGATTCATAACTGTAGCTGTAGCAAAGGGCAAATAACTGTGGATTTTCAGCATCAAGCCAACGTGATGGGACCAAGCAAGCCATCTACGCCCGCTGTTACGTTTGTGTCCAATACCCAGCTGCACAGGAATGAAGCAACAACTTTACAGACACAGGTATTATTTGACTTCTGTAGTGGTGCTGAATTGATTTGCCTTTATGACCAGTACAGAAAGGTGATCGTGACCCACTCCATGAGGTAGCCCACTAGTGAGCGTCAAATCTTCATACTTGCTTTCATGACAGTGTCATACATAAGTGTGATGCTTTTCTTCTGTAAGTGTTTCAGCCTTGCATTTCTCCTTCATCGTGTATACATTAACCTCCTGTTACCTTTATGAGTTTACTAATGGCTCACTCTGGGATATAATTATGTTAATTCATATTACTGATGTTACATTATTGTTATAACTCATTATTTGCACTTTTGTAATACTTAAGCACCTTTATAATGGCATTGTCCATTGTCTGTTCACTTTGGACCTGTTTTTTCAATGTATGTACCCACCTTAAGATGCAAAGAAGTGCTTGGTGGTATTTATAAAAGGATCTGCATGCTTAAATCACAATAATTCTGAATACTTTTTTTTTTTTTTGAGTGGGAAGGATGTCTTGCATACACTAAAGAAGTGACATCATAACAGAATACGTTTTGATATGAAAGGAGATCCATTTTCCCTACTGTTGTGTGCTAGAGATGCATCATCTGTGTGATGTGCTCTGTGTAACATCAGCTTCTGTTTAAACTTTGGAACAGCTCCAGTTTAATAGGAATGTGCCTGCAGTTCCAGAGAATTTGTTTGTCAGATTCACTAGCCCTCGTCCAATTATAATAGAAAAGCTGAAGCCATCCAATGATCAGAGAAGTCTAGCTGGTGGTGAAGGTCCCAGCATAAGAAGCTCTAGCACATTTTCAGTGGTATCTGAAGAGAAACTAAAATTCGCCATTCAGCTAGCTAAAAGGGACATAAAACGAAGACATCGCGAAGAGCAAGTGAAACAGCAGGTGTTTGGAGATGCCAGTAAACAGTTGTTGCCCGAGAAGTCACAACAACACCAGAATGAACTATTCCAAAGTCTAGACGAGAAAAATGCACTGAAGTCTTGGATTCCCTTTAAGTATCAGCAGAAACTTGGTCAGCCTTCCAAAGTGGAGACGACCAGCTCTGGTGCTAAAGTTTATCTCTACACACCAAATGACAGAAAGCTAATACCAGCTGTTTCAGACTCTCCACCCACCCATGACCCTGGACCAGGCTCCAAGATAAATATCAGAAAAAAAGAAGACAAAAACATACAGGAAGTCCGAAGACTGCAAAAGGAAATGAGAAATTGTATCCAGAAAATTGAAGAACTGGCTAAAAAAGGTGTAAGACTTTAAAAAAAAAATTATAAACGTACAATAGTTTGTTTCATTCTTCTTTCTCTTGTTTGGCTTGAATTAGAATCAGTATTTAGTTCTGTGTTTTAAGGGCTGTTTTTCAAAAGAGGATATAAAGTAGAATGACTAGGTAGTTTAGGCAATACGCCTGCAATAACAGTAAATTAAAGGTAGGCTAACTAACACCTTGTGTGAAAAACATTGGTGTCTGTAGCCCTATTGGCTAGATCCTCAGACTGCAAAAAATTAGCAACGTAATTAGCTACTTCATTAGTAGTAATAAGAAAGAAGCCAAGAGTTGATAACATTTCATCTAGCAAGTCTGACTCACCTAATTTATGGGTGTGCAGTGGCATACTGAATGTGCTTTCTGACACTGCATTGTTCCTCTTGTAATAATTAGCCAGAGGCTTAAATATTTCTGGCTCTCTGAGTGTTCTCTCTGCAACTTTGTGAGATGATTGAGGGGTCGCAGGTGATTTTATAAGCTATATCTGATAAACTGTATTAGATAATACTTGGTCAAGCTCTAAGTAGAAACGTGATGTTGAGTTAAAATAACTGACTTGTATTTACTGCTCAAGAGGGCCCAGCAAAATTCATGATACATCACATATTGGTTCTGCATGAAAGATGCTTCTTGCTGAACTGTGTTGTTCACTTGGCTTTATCAGGATTTTCACAGGTTAGATTAAGACATACAACTCTGTATTTTATCCTTTTCAGAGAGAAGTAAAATTTTGGATCCTGGTGAAGAGCAGCGAGTTCTCATTAGGAGACGGGAACAAGCTGCACGATCAGCTCGGAGGTTGTATGTTCTCCAGCAACAGGTAAGAACCAATCCTTTAAAATTAGGGTGTACAGTAGCTAGTTTATTACAGTGATCTTGACAGAAATGTACTGAAACAAGAGCTCTTGAACAAGATGCCTGTGACAGTGCCTTTGGTTTGGACCCGAATGGTGTGACTAATCTCTCTCATCACTGGATACAGCTGTGAGCATCACTGTTGGAAAATTTAGACTTTCACTCAGATGTTACAGTGTAGATTTATTACTTATTTATAGACATGGAGCTGATTCTGACTGACTTTTCCCCCTTCTCTCTCCTTTCTTGATAAACAGATAAAAGAAATTCAGGATGATTTAGAGAAACTGAGTCCTCGTAAAATCAAACATACTAAAAAGGTAGGAAGCGCTTACCATTCAGGATGCCACTCATTTACTGGCAGAAAGCTTTCGCAGTAAATTGAGTTTGCTGGAAATCAAGTTACCTAGGGTACATCTGATCCCTCTCCAGCGGGAGGAAGGGATCTTTTTTTGTTTGTTTTCTTGTATCTTGCACCTTTCACTTCATTGTCACAGAAAGATAGCTTGCTTGATCTGATACTGCCTTTGCTTCTTCACTCTTTTCCTCAGTTCTTATCCCTCTAGAGTAAACCGGAGAGGAAAAGGCTGTTGTTCTTCTCTACTTTTATGCTGCTTCTAATTCCTCCTTCATTCCCCTTTCATTTTTGAATAACATTGTGTTCTACTCATCACTACTTTTTTAACTTGCTGTTGATGTCACTCAGTCTTTCTGATATTCTTGTCTGTTTATCATCTTTCACAAAGTTAATGCTGCGATCGTGCCTACTGCCTGGCCAATATTGTCTTGCTCTCTTGTGCTTTTCCAGCATTTGTATTTTCTTCTGTAACAAGAACTCTGGGAGATGGTGACTGTTCCATGATTGCACAATGATTGTCACGTTGGGGTAGACCCATGACCAAACTCTAGGTGTAGAGTAATAGAAAGATCAGAAAATGTTATAACTGTGCTAGTTTAGCTGAAGTTAGCATGATACTTGATATCTGGACTGTTATGCAGTATCTTTAGTAGGTTGCTTAAATGCCTGTTGTGTTTTATCTTACAAGTGGCCTCATCTTCATCAGAACTATCACAATTCTGCATGAAATTCTGGCAACAGTTCTTTGAGTAGTAGCAGCATTTGTATGTTATATAAATTATGTAACTATAGTTTATATATAACTATATAAACTATAGTTATTCAAGCATGTATTTTTTTCATTTGTCCCAGTCTCAAGCAGTATCCAGATTGGCTGCAGCACACAGAGGAGCTATACGAGCCTTGCAGACATTTGCCAATCAGTTTACTGATCAAGCAGAGCAACAGGTTCCTGCCCACTACAAGGAACTGGGCAGTCTCATTCGACAACTGTCTCTCTGTTCTGCCAAGCTAGAAATGGATTCTTCTCTTTCTGACACTATCATCGATATCCTGCTGCAAGTTGAGGTAGGAAAAAGCATTTCGTTACTGCTAAGACAGAAAAGACAAGGTGAAATATTTGACTGTAAGCTATATTCACAGAATCACACAATAGCCAAGGTTGGAAGGGACCTCTGGAGATCATCTCGTCCAACCCCCCTGCTCAGACAGGGTCCTCTAGAGCACATTGCATAGGATCACATCCAGGCGGGTTTTGAATATCTCCAGCGAAGGAGACTCCACAACCTCTCTGGGCAACCTGTTCCAGAGCTCTGTCACCCTCACAGGAAAGATTTTTTTCCTCATGTTCAGATGGACCTTCCTGTGTTTCAGTTTGTGCCCGTTGCCTCTTGTCCTGTCACTGGGCACCACGGAGAAGAGTCTGGCCCCAAACACACACATTGTGTGTTCATGAAATGGCAAAATATCTTGCCGATCTAAAACTCGGCATCTTTCCTAATATACGCGGTGCACTATTTTTCCTGAGTTATGGTGGTCTAAAATGAAGTTTCATCTTATACACCAAAGCTACCTGCTGCATTTTTTGTTGATGCTGTTCCTGTCGTTATTGGTTCTCCTGCTAGAATTAGAACTGGTAGTGGTAATAGAGCACCAATGTCTGATTCATTTATCATTTTCAGGGCTAAAAGGAGCGTGTTTTATACATTGGGGTAAATTATATGTTTATTCTGTTTTGTGTCAGAATGTTTTCATCATACGGATTAGTGATGAGTGTTTGCCTCACGTGTGGTGGGTGCAGAAGTATCTAGGCAGAAGATAAAGCTACAACTGTTAATTAAGCTCTGTGCCCTTCAAATGACTTTCATTAGTGATATCTGATGCTTTAAAAACATTGTTGGTATAATGAAAAAGCTCTGATTCACGTTTCCTGCTGCAGTTTCTAAATTAAAGACTTTTTAAAAACAAAAAACTGCCTAACCTAAACTATTATGAAACCAATATTTAATTAAACACGTGATACAATAGTCATGAGATTTTTCTGCACCTTAAAATATTGCTCTAATTTTAAGAGCTGTCATTTATTTCTTTTGTTCTGAACTGCTTATGAAAACAGTAATGGTAATAATTGCCCTGAAACACAAAGGGAGGTAGAAATGTTTAAGATTGTGCTTGTTATTGAAAGAAGTCCATAGTCATCCCGTCGTCATATGGGGATTTTTTTTTTTTTGTCTGTAGCCTTTGTATCTGTTTCTTTTTAAACATGCCATAAGCAGATATTTGCTGGAGTCATTTGTAAATACAAAAATGAAAGCCTTTTCACAAAAATGCAAGCCTTTTCTGTAAGATTGAGTTAATTATATGAAGAAGCTTCTGGATGAATAAGCAATCAGGAAGAATCCCAAAAAAAGGAAAAGAAAAAACAAAAGAAAAAAAAAATCCCAAAGTACTAAACTACTTAGAATCCTTTAAGCTTTGTTTCTCATTATTACATCACATTTAATTAGAAAGTAATTTAAATTATAAATATTTGGTACAGGATCTGGATTCGTTGCTGGAAAAGAAACAAACACCTCAAAAAGCAAAGAAATGTCTTTTAACAGCTCAGGGCAAATCTCCAGAGAACAATGAGATATTTCCAGCCAGAAAGCAGCTTACATCTCCAAGAGGAGAAAAGAAACCTCTCATCTTAAAGGAACGTTTTGGACAAGAACATAGAAAACCTTCAGCTGCCAGGAGACTCTTGATTGGTTTGTATTCTGAATTATTAAATAAATTTTCATCAGTTAAGTTACCAGCTGCCAATCAATTTTGTAGTATGTTATCTATTGCTCCCAACAGTATAATAAAGCCCCTGTATAATAATTAGATTATTGTAGCCTTACTGTGCAGTTTTTCCAGCTGTTCCTCTGAGATGATAGACCTGCAGATTTAGGTCTGTTTATTGTTATTATTTAAATCTTATTCTTGTTATTTTTGCCTGTTTGTTTTTTTTTTTTTTTTTTTTTTACAGTGGACTACACTCAGATTATTTGTCTACAGTATATACCTAAATGACAGTTTACAAGTTAACTTTAATGGTGTATAAAGAATACTTCCAAGTATCTACCTAGTTAATACTGTATAAATATATTCTGTTGGAATGCAGAATCACCGTTAGCAAGTCTCCAACAAAGCTATTGTGGTTGTTACAGAATTGTGTTCAGTGAAAAGACTGAGCCTAAACTCAGAATTTCCTTGGATTGTGTATTTTTTTATACTTTTGAGAGAGGTTTTGAGAGGTGTGACTTTGTCTGATTTTTGCCAGTCTGTTAATAGTAGTCTTTTTTGCACAGTAATCTCAGTCTCAGTGCCCAGAGACACATTAGCTGATTGTTGGAAATTAAATTCTTGCTTTTTTCATTACTGGATTATCTTGCAACCTTTTGGGATTGCTTTGTTTACCTTGTTTTTCATTTACCTCATATATGAAACGAAGTGAACTTTACTCTTTCTCTGTGTGTTGTGAGATAAAGCTCATAACTGAAATATTTAGACACCTGGAAGCTATTATAGCGTATTACGTTGCTACCTAATGTATATTTATTGACATTATTATTCTTGCTTGTACTGTTTTTCTCATACCACTTTTTACTAGAATAGTACCTACTCCCTTCTATGCTTAGGTAAGGAGGAGACCGCTATGAAATGAATTCATCTTCCACAATCCGAAGAGAGAGAGTATATTGCCAAGTATCTCCTAGTTGTCATGTCTATTGCTATTATCACTCCCTTGATCTCATGTACCCATAACTACCAAAAGGCTTTCATATTATTTACATATGTATATATGTGTGTGTGTGTGTTTCTGTACATATAATTAAAAAGAAAAAAATCTCCTGTTCAAGAGAACAGCATAAGAAAGCCGGTTTATGTAACACTTAACAGGAAATACAAACACTTTTTAAATTTCATTTATTTGTGTTATGGTAGAGCTTTACAGTTCATGATTAGGTATGATGCTTAGCACAGCAAAAACCTCAAATACAGAAATAAAGATGGTTCTTGCCCCTTTGAGCTTACAGATGAAGAATTAGTATTATTTTTTTCATATAGGCAAAAATGAACTTGCAAATATTTCAGCAGTTCAAAAGACAAACAGTCACGCTCATGTATCACACAGTGAATTCCAAGAAGAAAATGATCCACCTACTCCAGAGAAAAATGCTATTTTACAAGGAAGCTTAGATGCATTGGTGAGAGCTGGAGCTGTGAAAAAAAGTGCTATACTTGAAAGTCACCCTGTGAGGAAGAAAGGAGTATTACTACCTGCAAAAACAAAGGTATGGAGGTGATAAAGAAAAGAATTTATGCTTTCCTCTACTTGTCCTCTGAGATTTTTATTTTTAAGGGTCTGCTAGGCTTTGCACTTCCTCAGAAATTTTTTGATTCTGATAAGGGGAGGAGTAAAGGGGTAAACTATCTCATTTGCCTATGTTTTTTATCATTTCTCATGTTATGACTATTGAAAGTAATGTTATTGTTCATCAGAAGCATGTTCTTCAATTAGAAACAATAAATAACAGAGTTAGCAAGGAAAACTACTTCTCTGAAAGTGGTTTCATGTTTGAAATTAGCATGATAAGTTTTCAACTGGGCTTTAAAGTTGATCTTTTTTTCCCTAATGTTAATATGAGGATGTAAATGAGGCAAACTTTGCCTCATTAGTTATAGAAATTATATAACTTCACAAGACAAATCCTGTTTTTTTTGATAAATTTCTCTTGCAGCCAGCGAGGGACTTCTGTAATTCAAACAAACAATTTCTTTAAAAATATTTCCAAATACAAATACAAAATGTTTACAAATACTTTTTTTATTAAGTGATTTTTTTTTTCTTCCTTAGAATACTGCCTTCTATTTGAAAAATCAGATTTGTTACAGTAACGTAGATGCATGCATATGTGTGTATTTTACTGCTTCCCATATTAGTATGAATGAGGTCTGTAAGCAGCGAGGTTGAACATCTCAGTAATTCATACTGAAGGAGCTAGTCTATGTGACTTTGTAGCAAATAGAAGCCAAGTAATCTTATAGTCTCATGGCAATAAAAAAAGTTATCTTGGAAACCTTCTGTTTTGATCTGTTCAGAGTTAAGAATCTAATTCTGAAAATCTCAAAAGAAGTTTTTCCCTGTGAAGAGCAACACGGAAAAACTGGAACTATTTGCAAAAATCACAGTTGGGGGATTAAGCACATTTTCTGTTGGGGCACAGTCATATCTACCTTCCCATCAGTTGTAAAACCTCTGCATATGTTAGCTATGCAATAAAGCCATCGGGCATGACCTCAAGACAAACTCTGAAACAGAATACAACATACTTAAGGGAGGCAGTAGGAGGGAAGAAAATATCAAGAACAGAGATGTATGTTTTTAATGTGTTACTTTTATGTTAATTTTAAGGTAATGTCTAAACCTCTAAAATCAAGACGGTTGCAACCTCAAGGAAAGCATGCCCGGTTTCAAGAGACAACTGTAGCTTTCCAACTAAAAGAAAGCAAACGACCAGTTAAGGAGAGCAGAATACCCTGCGTACCTCCACGCCCTACATCTCCGCCTGCTTCACCAAAACGGTATGTCCACAGTCTAGTGGAACCAGTGCTTACTCTGCTTCCCAGTGGAAATGCTGCTATTTCTATGTTAGTAAATAGGATGAGCTGGGCCTCGTACTCTGACCATGAAGGCAAGCGGCAGAGCGTCATTCACAACCAGATATAGTTGAGTTCTTTTCCCAGCTCAAGTTGGCCTTGCTCAGCCTGAGAAGAGCTATTGGCTCTTTCCTGATTCAGGTCTGAGGGTGGCCGGGCACTGACAAAGTACACAGTAGGCAGAATGGATGATCATGTGTCATCTTGGAGCCAGTGGCCTGGCCCAATTTAATTTTTTTAGTGTAGAACTAACTGTTATGCTGTGTATGTCAGCCCTGACGCAGTAATTTTCAAGCCCATCAGCTAATTTCAGTGAAAACGTACAGAGGGGTAGAAGTAACAAAAATATGCTCCTTCAAGTGTCTTGAAATTACCTATCCAAAAGCAGAGCTCCTGTCGGTGCTTTCTTTGGAGGGAACAATGTAGTTATATCAAAATGTGTTACAAGTCAAAGAATATATGAAGCCTGTGAGCCTTTTGTGAATGCCTCCACTATGAGAAGGCTTCAGGTTGTTGACTGGTTGGTTTGTTTTTTTGACATCAAGAAATTTGAATGCAGATCTCTTGTCTGCCCTAAGTCAGCCTTATTAGTCCTGCTGTTCAGACAAGTATGTATTTGTATTCGATACGCACACTGACTAGTACTTGTAGTAATGCCTTCAGGGATTATTTCACTGTGGGGGAAAAATGCTCAAAGATAAATGCTAAAATAATCAGGTCAGTGTAGGACAAAAATCTCAGCGTTAGCTGAATGTGTCTTTTACAACTGATGTTAGCTTTTTAGTGAATGAAGTTATCTGAAGAACTTAGTACTGAGTTATTAGTGGAAGACTTTTCCAGTGAATTCTGATATGCTACAGGAAGTCTCTTTACAGTAATATGATTGTTATCATTTGTTGTTTTTCTTCCCAGATCTTTTAAAACAAACAAAAAAACCCATAGACAATGTAATAATTAAAACATGCAGATAGCTAGGGCCTACATCTTGCTAAGAACACCCCTTAGGAGGATCCCTTGAAGTACCAAGGAGGAAATTCAGGGTGAACATTACCAAACTTGTCATATTGACCTCCTCCTTTTATTTCCACCATTGCCTTTACACGGACTCAACTTCGTGCCTGTAATTTAATCAATTAACATCAGAGTTACACATTTAAAGCTAAATATGGTCTGAGGGGCATAATTTGAGCAAAGTTGAGTGCAATAATGTTTGTTATGAATAGACTTTTTTAAGGTGCCACAGAGGGAGAGAAGTACCCTTAATATTTTCCCCTATTTACAGTGCTGTCAAGATACCCAGGAATGCAAGCTCCAAGGAGCTCATTGGTAACTCAGCTTCACAGAAAGAGAAGGCAGAAGAAAGAAGACTAGGTCTCATGGAGAGAGAAGCTCTCAAGTGGGCATGGATATTCTGATTGGAAATACTAAATTTTGTTTCTGAATGTTTATTTAAAATATATAAAAATATGTTTTTTCTTATATGGAGTTGATTAGATTTTGAGGGTAGATAGCCAATGTTTTCTATAGCTAGGCAAGGGTTGAGGGTGGTTGTTGTCATTTTGTTTGTTTGTTTTTTTAACTTTTCCTTAGATCAAGAGGAAGTACAGTAGGCATAGTTTTTTTTTTTTTTATTACGGTCTTTATAATGCTGGCATTTCCCACTTCAGAACCTTTTCTAGTTGTCAAGGGATACTTCCCTTTCCCTTGAATGTGAATTAGCAGGAGAAACAGCAAATGATGGAAGATTTTTCTAGCAGAAGTGAAATAGATCACCCTGGCTAAAACTTGACAAATTGCTATATTCATAATGTATTTTCTTTTCTTGTTTTACGGTAGTTCCTTTTATTTAATTTCTAGTTACTTTTGCTTTTGTCCCCTCCCGTTCTCCTTGATGAATAAAGACATGATTAGTTCCTGTTGTTGAACAGTTTTGCAAATATATTTTGCAAATCTCTTTATGTTTTTATAGACCTGAAGGGGTCTAAGTCTGCTTGGTAATGAATGACAAGTATTAATATGCAATCACTGAAATGAATATGTTTCATCTGTTCAGTTGAGGCTATTAACGCAGGAATGTGCCTAGTGTCAAGTGCTTTTGGCAGCTTCCAACAAGGATTTCTTCTGGAATTGTTCAGAAATGCTACCTAGTGGGCAGATTTTTGAGGGCTATTCTGTAAATAAGCTTTGAAGGAATCTGAGAAGAGAGCTGAATTTTACACTAACAAGGTTAAAGCTATTATGAGAATATGTTTTTGAGCACTGCAGTGTGGAAGATAGAGCCAAGATTTTTTTCAAAAAGACTAGTCTTTTTATGTGTACAACTTGAGTCACAGGCTAATGGTCTTGAACGTGAGAAGCTTGCTGTTTCTTAGTAGTTGTTTTGAACTATTAGAATTGCTGTAGAGAAAAGTAATAGTATTCTTCTCTTTACCCAAGATTTCATTTCTTCACCAAAATATCTTTAATTAGTTCCCCTAGATTTTTTAAGATGTATATTTCCAGCCAAACATTTTTCTATTTTCTAAACATAATTGACTTAGTATCACAACACTGCATTGAGAAGGTAAATATTATCTCCCTGTTCCAAAGGACAAAATAGCATCAAAGGCATGTATCTTTGTCCCGGTCAGGATTATAGTTCAGATTTGTTTGTTTTAAATTGTAATCAGCATCCTCTAGACCAGGGCTCCCCAAATTTAGTCTCTTCTGGGACCACTTTTTGTGGCAACTGTAGTAGGAACAGCTGCTGGATCTGTAGTAGGAGTGTGTATGGCAGTGTGCATCATAAGACGAGGAGCTTGTGTATGTGGGCAGTATTTGTGGATAGCTGTGAAGTCGCTTGTTTACCAGTAGCAGAGGCGTAATTGAAGATACTTGCTTCCCAGCAGAAGAATTTTCTGGTGTTTCCTGGTGTATGTGGTATTAAAGTCAATATTGACTTTCCCTTAAACAATTTTTTTCAAGTTCTCTAAACTAATATTCAGAATCAGGATTTCATTCTCTAGTTGTTGCAATGTGTATTTTGTAACTTTCTTATAGTACTGTTTTATTTTTGAAGACTAGGGTGGCTTAAAGCAGAAACTTAAAGAAGAATGAAGGTTCTAACTGACCTTAGTAAGGAAGAAATGAAAAAAATACAAAAGCTGAGTTAATTACATGGTTTGAAGAGCTGATAAATGGAAACAGTTTTGCTATCAGATCTGACAGGGCTTCCCATCCACCCCCAGCACCCCCAACAAAATGGATTTATGATTGTTTGTTGCTGTTGTTGTCATACTGGATCTTAGAATGAAATTGTCATTTGTTCTTTTTTGAGTAGGTCACAGTGTGCTTCTCCAACCCAGCTTGCAGACAAAGTTGAGAGAGCAATACGGGAACGCTTAGAACCCCTTTTGGAAAAGGCACAGGTAGTACAGTCAAAGCTTGTGCTGCTGAAGGATTCATTTAGAGCTGTAAAACATTTATGAAGGGGCAACATATCCGTTTATTTTCAACTGAATGCAAGTAAACAGTTTTAGGGGAAAAAGCATCTAAAATTGGTTATGTAGTCAACAGAGTTTTGGATATGTGGAGAGTACATTTCCTTTTCAGTGTGAGTTCCTTTAATTATTATAATAAAAATTTTGCAAGGCTACATTAAATTTTTTTTTTTGTTACTTTCTGGTCAAGTAGATGCATTTTAAATTGTTTTTGAATGTCATAACAGTTTCATATTGATCATGATGGGACTTGATAAGAGTATTTTAATAATTCATGTTATACCTTATTTAATGACTAAATAGCATTTGTATTAGTAATACAGCAAATGTGATTATCCTGAGATGATTTATGTTTTGTTAGAAGGTCAACCTCTCCTTGGAAACAAGCAGTCATTTTAAGGATTCTTCAATTATAAACAAGCTTTCAACTCCTGTAGCTGAAAAGGTATATTCTATCTATATGCCATAGAATATAGTTGTTTGAAATTTATGATGAATTTTTATCTTTGCCATGTAGCAGATGCATCTGGGAAAGCAGTAACAAACTATTTCCATATCCATTGATTTTAGCGGTAGAAAAATACTAAGCTGTTTTTATTAATTTGGCTTACTGTATGTGGAAGAAAACCAGGAAATCGTTTCGATTTTCCTTGATGGAAAACGTTGAATGACAATTGGATCGTTACAGTAAGCAGCTACTTTTAGAAATGTTTAATTTGTTTAATTTTTTTCATCAAAATATTTGATTTTTTGCACTGATTATGTGGGGTTTTTTTTTGCTTCTTTTGATTAGCAGGTTGCAGCAAACGCGGATATCCTGAGTGAAAAGCTACTGGATGATCTTTTGGAAGATACTGCTCAGGAGCTCTGGAGCATGGAGCGGCAGGAGAGGCTCCAGGCCCAGGTGCTGGCCATGGCTGACAGTCCTACTTTGGAAATGATGTTGCAAAGGATGGAAGACATTGAAGTAAGGGTTTGTCTCTTGGTTGATCTCAGGGTTGCCAGATTGCTCTCCATAAGTTGTGGTATCCGTCATTTTCTATGTTCTTACATGAAGCAAGGTCTGACTGGATCAGTGTATGAGCTAGAAGAGCTGGAAGGAGTTTCCGCTCCCAGCAGAAAGTAGAGTGAGAACAGAAGGATGTTTGGCCTAACGGTTGTATTGCTAGCTTTAGAGTTGGTAGACCTGAGTTTGCTTCCCACCTCAAGGCTCTGTGGCTTAGATCATCATTTGTGAAGAAGAAGGTCAATATGGTGATTACAACATAGTTAATTATCTCACAGATTGGGAAATGTTTGAATGTTTGTGATTGGTTTTTTTTTTTGATACAGGATCCTAATATTCAGGTAGTGCGAGTACCTCAAGAAAACATGCTGTGGCAATCCAAAGTATATTACAGGGAAACATGGGGAAGTCAAATAAATGTTAGTTGACTGTGTGCCTATTTATCCATCTTGCTATGTAAATTTTCATGAGATTGTCACTTGATTGTTTTGATCTTACTCATATGTTGCTTTTCTTCAATTTTTCTATAATCAGCTTTTCCACAGTTCTTTGGTTCCAGTCTCATTTCTACCTTCCTGCTCAGAGAAATTTATCTTAATCTGGAGCTATTGAGTTTAGTGCCATTTACTTCTAAGCGGGAGGCACAAGCTTATGTTATGCAGTGTCTTTTTCCATATGGAACTGAACATTTAAGCATATATTTGAATTCGCTATTGTTTGTGATAGAGCAGGACAGGCATTATGGGCCATTCATTTCTCAGTTATTTGGCTAACTGCTGTTGATCAGAAGTGGGAGAAGTTGCAATTGTACTGGCAACTGATCGAGTCTTAAAGACTGGCGTTTTGACCAAGATTATCTGTGATTTCACACCCCCTCCTTCTGTATTAAGTTAACTGGAGAAAATAATCCTACTTTGATCAAAAAAGATTGTGGCCTGTTTTCCCATGAGGTGATCACCAGCACAGCCAAACTGTTAAATATTTGCTGATTAATCTCTTTTTTTTGTACATTTAAAAAAAAAGAAATACCAGGAAGCGGTACGGAGGAGACTTGCCCAGATTGTGTACAGCGATTTGGAGTTCGGGGCCCAGGAAGAGAAAAAAGGTAAGTGTCTTTTTAATGCAATTTATTTTTCCTGTAGTCTCTATCTTTAAATTGTGCTGTTTCAAAACCAAGACAGTTGGATTTTGTGATCACCATCCACACACGTTTTTGATGTAGGTACAACTTTGAGAGAAATGTTCCTGAAATAACTCAAAAGAAGGAGGGATCTCTTCAGAAAACAGGCTCTAATTTTATACTTGGCTTTACTGGGGCTGCATCTAGATGCAAAGCACTGCCAGTGTGACTTAGCTGAAGGACTGGTATCTTTAACACACACCTGCAGTTATCAAATGTTAAGTCTGAATGTTGTCCTTTTTTCAGGTATTTGTCATGGCTTAGTTTAGATATTTTCTTTTTTTTTTTTTCCTAAAGTATGAGTAAATGAGTTTTGTGCAGTGAAGATGATATTGGAACATATGTGCTTATGGAGTTCTTCTGTAAGTTTATTTGATTTTACTCCAGAAGAAAGCCAATTTACTTTCTTAAACAGTTTATTCAACTTTTAGGAACACAATCTCTTCACTTCAGTCTCATTGTAATTGCTGACAAGGGGTGTGGAAAGAAAATGAAGATCTGATGCATGTGAAATATTATGTAAACCATTCTTTGACTTGAAGAAACAGTTTATGTTCAAGAATGGCTTCTGACTTGTTTTAGATTACCATAATTTTTTTAGGCTTAGCCCAGACCTCTAATAAATACAGTCCTTTCAAAAGTATTTTTACTTCAAAAATAAGACTTCAGGAAAACCACACAATCAGGTACAGAAGCAGGAAGGATTCTTGTGATAATAGCAGCAGTCAACAGAGGATCAGTGGTAGGAGAACTATAGGGGAAGAGAGGGCTACACTTTTTCTTTCTCTTTGTTTCTGCATGCATGTAACTTGCAAAACTGTTGAGTTGTAGTTTTCTTCTTTTGTTTTGGATAACTCATGAGTATGTGCATGAAAATACAACAGATAAGCTGTGTGGGATTCTGATGAGAAAGAAATTACCTTTGGCAAGAGTAGTTTGTTGAAGGTGTCTTTATGTTCTCTAAATGCTTCCTATTCTTAGTCTGACATTTCCTAGAGCCACTTCATTCTTTCTTGTTAAGCTCTTCATGACTCCTCTGTTTTCAGTTTTTGAGAAAGAGATTGGCAAATCTGTAAATCTTGAAGAGAGTGTTTATTGTGTTCTTATTTGACTTGATTCCTTTGCAACAGCATTAAGGAATCTGGTCCTTGTTAAGAAACCTTACCAGTAATCTTTTTCATGATGATGAATCCAAAGTTATTCTTAGATTTCACAGGTAGAGGCAAGGTATAATGAAACACTCACTTTGTTCCTGCTGTTAGGTTTATGATTTTTATTATTTTTTGTTTTTATTTAGGCAGGAGCAAGCAAGATATTGATCATCTAGTTTGCTTCTCCCATTTTCTTTCTTTTATTTTAATAAACCAACAGTTTAAATGGCTGAATTAAAGAGTAAGTGTTAGGGTAAATATTACCTAACAGTAGCAGTGAGTCCCTCAAAGTTTAAAATTTTTCTGGCAGTACACAGATTAAATTACTTAAATAAGCTTAGAAGATTTTTCTCTTCTCTTATTCCTTTGAAGTGATGATGATATTGTAAAACTGAGGAAGCCTGTTTTGTTTGTTTGTTTTCTGCAGAAAGGTCTGCTTTTAGATCTTGCAGCATAACATGCAAGTTAAATTCTTCTAACCTCAGAAAATCTAGATTTTTTTTTGTGCACTGGAAATTATTATCCAGTGTGTTTCAGCAATTAATATTTAATCGCTGAAAAAATACAGTTCAGGTGCTTCCAATTAATGATAATCATGTTTTTCCTGCTTGTTTTTCATTGGGTAGAAAATAAATAAAAGGAATTTTAAATCCATCAGATTTAAAGATAAAACTTTTCGCATTAGAGAAACGTTTTAAGGGAGAGAGAGAACTGAGTAATGTTAGTAGGAAGCTGTTCACTAACAAAAGCTAGTATTCCAAACAATATTCTGATGTATCCTGTATGTAAGTCAACATATTTTAGCATTGTGGCATGCTAATAAACATGGCTTTTGCTTGTTATTATTTTTCCCCCTCTGTTCTTTATCCTACTAGTTGATCTAGTACACTGAATTACCAAGGTGAGGATCTGAGCATATACTGACTTTAATGGAACTATGCTGTTTTACACCAGTTGGAAAGTCTCACAAAAGGGCAGGTTAAGATTTGGCCCAAATCTTCTTTTTTTTTTTTCCTTCTGTATCTTGTATTTGCTGCCAAGCTCAATAGACTAGTTTTAGAGTAGTATTTTCTACCTCTTCTGTAGAAGTATCCACAGATACAACAAACTATACAGAACATGGGATTTTTGAAGTGCTCAGCTTTAGCACACTGAGCTCTTGGAAATTCTGTCTTGAATTTACATTTTAGAGGCTTTTCTGTAGTTATCTGAAGGACTTGGCCTTAAAAGGAACGACACTTTCTGAGGACATGCCTGCATTAAATGTAGTTTTTTCTCTTCCAGAGAAACAATTTTTAATGTTGTTTTCTTCCTTCTAGAACAGCAAAGTGCATCAATAGCTAAAAGACCTTCCTCTCCACATCCAATTCAGATAACTAAATTAATTGGACAGAAAGAGGCAGAAGTAGACATTATATTTGAAAACCCTTTTGATGGCAAGTAAGTAGAATATTCTGCCCTAGGCTAAGCTGAGGTGCATTTGAGCTATGCATCTTCGTTATAGTGTTTTCATTAAAGTAAATTGTGGTTGCTATCTGAAGAGACTTTGTCCTTCAAAAAGGTTTTTGAAAACCTGATTCTGATTTATTGACTATTTTCCATTTCCAGCGGTGTTGAAGAGCACAAGGAATCAGAGGAGAGATTGCAGCCTGGAAATTACGTTCTGCAGCCCTTGACTCGGAGTATGTCTCTGCAGAAAGAGTGCTGTGTTTCTCTCTCTATTCCAAAGCATATGTTCCAGAGCATCTTGGATTATAACAACAGATACAAACATCACCTAAAGCTCATTTCCCATGAGGCAGTAGGCAGTTTCAATCCATGGCATATTGCTGAGAGGTACAGGAACTGTCTTTTATTTGTGAAGTGAACGTAACAGCAGATGAAAAGGTTCTTCTGTCCTTATTTAGGAAGGGAGTGGGGAGGGGACAGTTCTGTTGAAAGCCAGAAGCAGTCAGCTATTGGACTGTTTCTCAGCTGGTACTTGATGTTTATGGCTTTTTAAGATATTCAGAGAAAATGAAAGGATATGGGAGCAGGATGTCCTCAAGGAGTGACTATTTTTCACGTCTTAGTGTTACCACAGAAACAACTGTGTGAAATATAAAGTAACTTATATTATTTTCAGAAGACTACGTCAGATGGAAGTGAAGCTTTTCACTTTTAACTTGACCTTATTTTGTGCAAATTAGCTTTCTATTGCTGTAGAAAACTGCAAGAAGTGCCCACCCTCAGCTTTCCTCATCCATTTCTGCAGTAAATGGGTGAATGAGTCTGTAGGGAGTCTCCATAGAAGATGTAGTTATTTAGCATGCTCTGAAAAAGCCTTTAATACTACATTTTCAGTGTTTTATACAACATAATATTTTCCCTAGAGATAAAAAGAAATGTTTGTAATTTTCCATTCATGAATTCAGTAGTATCATCAACAAGTAAACTGAAGAAAAACAAAATGTACTGTTTTGCTGAGTGAAAAAGAAAGAAATACAGGTTGCCCAGAGAGGTGGTGGAGTGTCCATCCTTGTAGGTATTCAAATCCTGACAGGACATGGCCCTGGGCAACCTGCTCTAGGTCACCCTGCTTGAGCAGAGGACTAGATGATCTGCAGAGGTCCCACCCCAACTATTCAGTGATTCTGTGAAAGCACTGGAAATAGCAGAGAACATGCCCGCAATCTTTACCTCTTGTGGAAGATTATGCAATTGCTGTATTATGGAACAACTGTAGATATTCTTTAAAAAAAAAAAAAAAAGTGACAGGTGGACTTAGTGCAAATTTCAGTACTTCCATTTCCAAAAATCTTTGCACTGTCATGGAGGTAACTATGGGAACTGTGACATACCTCAGTACAAATAAAAGAAGTAAACATTCCCTCCACTGTGCGCTTCCTAGGAAAGAAGAAATCTTTATCACACAATCAATGTTTGCTAAGCAGGCGGGGCAGTGAAAGCTAAAATATCCATAACTATTTTGATTGCTCAGCAGCAGGTACGGCGAGTAGATTATATTATTGGTCATCATTTCCTTGCACTTCCCTTGAGTGATTGTCTAGAATTGCTTATGATTCATTCTCAATTTTTGTGATGTTTCAGAAATTACCTATTGATATTGTAAGGTCCCAGGTCTCAGTCCAGCAAAACATGTAACTATAGGTTGAACTTGAACCCTGCAAGTAGTGCTGGGTTTTTTTGTTGTTGTTGTTAGTTCTAAAAAAACTGGCACAGCATCTGTTGGCACTGAGGAGCCATGAATGCCCTACAGACTAGAAATTAGAAGATTTCTAATTGTGAGAAGAGAAAAGTTGAAGAAGGTATCTCTAGAGGATTTGGAAAGAATTACAAAATCTAGCTTCAGTAGTTATAAAAAGGAATGATTTGCTCTAATTGTCCTTATTGGCAGATTGGACATCACACTTAATTGTCACAAGTTCTACACACGTTTTTAATGTGGTAACACTGAAATCAATGATATAGGTCATGTGAGTGGCATTTGGCATCTACATCAGTTTTTCTAGGCTTAGATCTCTTGATATTTGAGATGACTTACGTGTCTAAAGTTCATCGTGTGTGTTAATGGTTTTCCCCAGCTGTGGCCAAGTAGGCAAATGTTTTAACAACTGTGGGTAGATCACTGTATTTAAATCTACTAAAAAGATCCACTGCAGTATGCCTTGCCAATTCTCACATACTGTCATTCTGCAATGTGAACTGCATTCATTTTTATAATTGGTGTGAGGCTGGGCAGTTCAAAGGCTGGCATCTTCTTCTGATTGGCAGATGGATTAAATGGAAGTGAATCTCTCTCCCACTGCCGGTTGAATTCCACTGCTGCCATTTGCCTATGATACATGTTGTTACTTGAAATCAAACTGCAAATGTAATCCAGTATCCAGGACACTTCTTTGAATTATTCTTACCACCAGAGGGCATTACAAATCTTTTTAGGTAAAATATGTATCAAAATATGTATATGTGTATATTAAGAAAAATCTCCCATGCTAAAAGGTCTTGGATACACTAACTCTGTGATACTTTTAGTGTATGTATAAAACTGAAGAGAAATTTTCAAGACACCAGCAAAAAATTGTGTTTTTAAATGCTAGAATGATTTTCCCTTCTGTGACATCTGCTTTGACCCAGAGATCTATGAAAATGGAAATTTCTGGTCTCGCTTCTCCTTAAATTTTGTTGCTTTCAGTAAGGCCTGATTCAGTGACCACTAAAATCAGTAAAACGCTTCCCATTGACTTCAATGGCCTTTGGATGAGTACCATCATATGTTAAGTCTTATTCCCAAAGCAGGAGTAGTGTCAGAGTTTGAAAAGGAAAGTGGCAGAAATCCCTCAACACCTCTAAGCATGAAACATTTATCCTTCACTAGGAACTGCACTGAGGCAAGAATTTCCAGTATCTTACGCAACGTGCATGAGAACACAACTTTTCTATGGTAGTGAATCCTTTCGCGGGCTAAACAGTAGAAAGAAAGGAGAAATATGAGTATTATCCTTCTAAAATCAGAGCATTGATATCAATGGAAGGAATGACTGGAATTAGAAATCTGACCTTCTGAACCTTTTCCTTTTCTTTTTTTGCCTCTCTCTCCCTCAGTCTTGCAGAGGAACTGACAGAAGAAGCCCTATGTGATATGGCAGCAGAGCTGCAGGATGTTTGTGAGGATTATGCGGAAGCTGTGTTCACATCAGAGTTTTTGCAGCCAGTATAGTAAATGCTTTTAAATTTGCCCCATTAACAAATGCAATGTCCAGCCTCAGTCTAACGATTTTATCAGATGATCTTATTTTTCATTTTTGTTGAAGTCTGTGTGAGATTCTACTCACCAAATGAATTAAGTCCAACAGGGATTCATCTCAGGTTTTGTAAAACCATGATATACTGGGTTTATCAGGACTTTTTTACTTTTTTTTGGCAGTGTTTCAGTAGAATGAAGTAAATTGTTACAGGTAAAGTTTACATGTTCTCAGGGGGCTACTGTTCCATTTGTACACCTGTGATTACTTCATCCATGTCTATGCGTGATCTGCCTGGTTACAATAAAGTACTGGGAGGTGGACCCTGGATTGCAGCTGTGCCATGGACTTAGCTGTACTGTGCTTCAGTTTTCTTCTTTAAAATTGAAAGAATCTAACTTCACCTACCTCACAAGGGAGCTACAGGTTTTAGTTTATTCTTGTTAGTAAAATGCATTGAATATATCTGAAAGTTGTATTGGGAAGAATAAGATATCATTGATATGAGTTTAAAACTCAGGTGGAAAAGTCGAGAGTAAAAGCCATTGGGTTTGCTGTTTTTTAAGGCTTTCAGTGTCATAAAGATGTTGTCTGACCACCATAGCTAACAGGCATGGCTGGATTAGTTTTTTTTTTTTGAGATGCAGCAATCCAAAGGAGCATGACTCTTCTGGCACAGCTTTAAGTTGATGTACCACATAGCAGTGGCTGTACTCCTAGGCAAAAAGCCTGCATGCTAGGCCCTTCCAATCAACTTCCAAATGTAGTAGCTCTCATGTTCGTTTCAAAATATCACTAATACATCGTGTACAGTAAAATGAGACCTTTCAATGGAAGCATATGACAGAATTTTTCTCCCCCTCTCTTTTTTTTTTTCCTTAAATCAGCCTAAAACTTTTATTATTCTACCAGCATTTAATGATCCAACTCCACATTCTTTATGTGTAAAAATCCCAATCACAAGATGACCAACTGGCATTTCTGCAATACTGAATTAACATTTTAGTTTCAGATAATCAATGTGCTAGTTGAGGTTATGTCTAGGGCAAGCAATAGGTTAAAAAAAAAGTTTTATGGTAAAACTTGTGAAAAATGTGAGCTCAGCCCTTGAGGTAACCTAAAAAACAATATGAAGGTCAGTTTCTTTTGACAAAGTTCTTTTCTGCAATAATGTTTAACCTTCTACAGAGAAGTTTCTAACCTTCTAAAAGTGTTTTTATCTCCTCTAATTTGAACATACAATTTTAAAATAATTTTAAGTGGTTTGTCTTGAAATGTATTTGATGTAATTTTTATCACTGTGTGATTGATTTTGCAATTTAAAACACCCCTTTTTTTATTTCCAAGATGTATAGAGGTAAGTCTATTTTTAAATCCACAAATGCAAAATCATAAAGAATATCTGTATATGTATGCTTGTGAAAGTCTTTAATAAACAACATTTGTTTCTTAGGACTGGCCTTATTTTTGATTTAAAATATCTTGCATTTAAACAATTTGGAGAGTCAGCACCCAACATGCAAGGGAGTACCTGGCAACATTAAAAGAATCAAATTACTGTGTGCCCCAAAGTAACATGGTCATCTGTCAAAGTAAATATATTTTTCTCTCATTGTACTGTGAGTGGTATCCTCTGACTGATGATGCCGAAGTGAACTCTTATTCTGGATGAGATAGTGTGATATTTGGGTATTTTCTCTGAGCAGAAATCCATGGAGAGGGAAGGCTTTAGATGGGATTCTTGATTTGATATTCTTCAGTCCTTCCTCATGAACTTAGGAGTAAAGGATTTTGTAATGCCTTGTTTATTTGCATAGTGCCAAATGCAAGCTAGAGGTTGTAGAAAGTTTGTACCCTGAAAAATGTCATAATTATAGGCTTTCATCTAAAAGTGACTTTGCATGTCACTAGTCCTAAGGGACAAATCGGCATCAGGCTTGTTAAATCTTATATCTATACTTAATTCTTTCACACTATGTTGATAGAGACTATATATCAGGCTGAGATGTACAACCATAATACCATGTCAAATGTTACTATGCATTTGATGAGCCATGTTAACTGACTATGTATTTAGTTAAAGCACTGCCATGCATCTGAGTCCATAACCACTTTAAAGTTGAGTACACGAGGGGTACTGTAAGCAGTTTCAGATTTTAAAAGTGTTTTAATGATACAGATAGTGAAGAAATAGATTTTCTTAGAGATTGTGCTCTTTCCCATTGCTAAAGGTATTTAGGGAGAAGTTAGATATCCAAAACAAATTATTATTCTTGATCTTGCAAAGGATTCTCTTCCACCAAGCTGGACTAGATTTTTGTCTTAAGATCTTTGCAGGCTTCTTTCTTTTATTCTTTATGCACAAGTGTCTTCAATGTCAAGGCTGCAAGAGGGATAAGGCAAAAATAAGTTGAAATAATTCAGTGGTTAAGTAGATATGTGGATAACTCCACTTAAAAAGTAAATATTAATTGTTCCAATCACGTTTGGCTGAAATAGAACTACAATTTACAAAGTGGGTCAGAGTAACTTGGGTGGTGGATGGCAGAGGCATATCAGAGTGGTTTTGTACAAGAGCAGTGCCATGCCCTGAGTGCACAGAGGGGCCTTAATTGTCCTGACCAGCCTCCTCTTTGACTTCTGTTCATGGCCAGGAGTCCTGCTTGCCCTCGGGCCGGTTCTCAGGCCTTGCTGGAGCAGTGTCATATGCACACTGATGTCCAGCCCTGTCCCCTGCCCATCCTGGCTCTCTGGCTGGACTTCCCAGGTTGACCTTGGATCTGATGTGTTTGTTACCTTGCCTGGGCTGACGATGCCTGGGCTGTCACTGGGACCTGTGACTGCTGCCACCTTGCCCTGCCTAGGTGCTGTGGGACTACGCCCTGTTGCTGTGGTCACTTTCCAACTTGTGCTGTGGACACACTGGGCTCCTGGCTTGGCCTCCCTCATGGGGTAGCCCTGCTCCCAGTGCTCCTTGACAAGCAGCTAGGTGTGTAGGAAGGAATGAAGAAAGGAGGTGACTCTGAAAACCTTCTGTGAGGACCCTGAAGACAGGACTGCTCATTAGCATTCAATGAGCAGCTCCTGCAACTCTCCTGAAAATATATGCAATCTACTCTGTAAATATTTAACTGTAGAAATTAAATCAGCATGCTTCTGGGAGTGAGGTAGTTATGGTAACGGTATCTGCTCTATCAGTGGTTTGGAGAACTAATTTTTCTAGTAATGCTGGACCTAATTCCACTTCCATTAATATCAAAGTAACAATATAATTGCACCTTTTCTTTTTTATTTGATTTGCTCTGTCTCTGGGTTACTCCTAGAGGTTCTTTCTGCCCAGCCCACTTCTCATTGGACTGCTTTCCCTCTATCAGGAAAAAGAGGTGTTTCTTTTTGAGAAGTGATTCACTAGCAACAGGAAAATGAAGTCTGTTCATGATGTATTGTACATTCTAGTCAGTTATCAGCCAAATAGAAGATCTGCTTCGGTATATCTGCTCAAGGCATGTCCAGGAAGAACAGAATAGCTTTCAGAGCATATTTTTCCTCAGAAGACTCCACATTATCTCTAGCAGCATGCTTGAAGTGCTAGATTGCACTTAACTTTCAGGGTGGTAGTCTGGTCTGAGAGAAAAGAGGCAGGTTCAAGGGCAGTGATCTTGAACGGTCATTTATCAGCTGTTTCTTTGTGCTTCACCTGTGTGTTTGTGTCTGCCTATTGTCTCTTGCATAATAGAAGTTGCAAAATTTTTATGGGAGGGCTGCCTCTGTTCATACAGCTCTTATCTCGGGGAGGGAAGTGGCTGACCACTGGAGCTTTGAGGCACTGTGATATTAATGTTGAACAGAGACCTGGCTGACAGAACCTGCCTTCATCAAGAGGCAAGGTATCTCTTGATGAGATACCTCATCAAGAACTGGGGTACTGTAAGCAGTTTCAGATTTTAAAATCTTGATGAGATACCTCATCAAGAACAATTGAAATTACAATAAATATAAAATAGAATTTCATTTAAATTGCAGGTATTATCCTGCATAGAAGGAAATGTAGCATAGCATTCAAAGTTCAATGCTCACTTTCATTTATTTAGTGGACATGATGTCTTTCTTACCTTACCGTCTTCTCTACTCTTTTCTCTGTAGGAAGATGGCTCTTTCCATGGAATAAACTCAAATAGTTACTGCTGAGAGGTATTTTTCAAGGACTGATTTTTAATATCTTACTTTTCTGTTTTTTTAAAATGCTTTTTCAAGCAGCCTCCTGATTTACCAAGATCCTTTTGGGTATGTATAACTTAACCCAATTACATAGGCATGGGTGTAGAAATTTCTGAATTCAGAGAGAATTCACTTGACTGATATCTCATGAGTTACATGGGAGTTTTCCTTCAATTAAATTCTTACCATACCACGTATAAGTTTGTAAATCTAGCTATAGATGTTAGGTTTAAAAACACATAATACCACACAGCATCAAGCTTGTAGTCAGTTACTTCCTTTTGCCCCATTTTCCCTCAGTGGGCATTTGTATACTTGGTCTGTCTGGGCCAGATGCTGCAGACACACAAATGAAGGGGTAACCCTGACAAGCTGGGGTACATGACTGGGATGTGCTAGGTCATGCTTAGGATGGTCTTGTTTTTATACCTAATGGCTCAAGGGCCAAGATGAAGCAATCTCCTAATGGTTAAGGAAAGGCAAGATCCCACAGGTCCATGGAAGAGCCAAGACTGTTCGACTGGCCACAGCTGCAGTGGCTCTGGTATTACTGGTCTTACCCTGTATAAGAAGGTAACCAGGGTAAAACTGCCTTGGTGACTACAGCAACTTTGAACTGTGTAAGGCTATGTGCCAACTCTGTCTATTTCTACCTGGCTCTGTAGGAGGCTTTTGCTTTTATACCTTGTTTATTTTCTTCTGGGAGCCAGGAAAGGCGCCTGACTGGGTAGAAAGAGCTTCCCTGTGAAGCAGGATATGTGCCAGCTGGAGGAGCAAGACCAGTCCCTGTGCTGAGCTCAGGATTGTGGAGCAGGCCAGCTCTCTGGAGGCTACTGTAGGTAGGTTTCTTATAGGGAATAAATGGTGCACCAGAAAAATAAGTGAATAGTGTGAAAACTGGGGGAGGAAGGGATGGGAATAAAAAGAATGAATTATGTCTGAGTAGCTCCCAGTTATGTGCAGTTCATAGAATCACAGAATAGCTTTTTTTAGCTCTTTAACAGCAGTGATCTGTTTAATAGAGGGAGGAATGTTTTCTCAGAGCTTATATAATAAACATTTGTTTTTATTGACTATTCTTTGTATATACTGAGAGTTATGACCCTTCCTCGTGCATTAAGTACTTCTCCTTCACCTCTTGTTTTGTACCTGCAAGCTCTCTGGAGCCAGGAGCTGGCCGTGCTGTGGCGACTTTAGAAGCTGCTTGCTAGTTTTCTGGACTCCCACTGAAAACAGAAGGAGCTGGCTATCTGAATGTCACTGGTAACTTTTAATGTGTCAGCCTAGGTCCCTTAGGGATCTGCTTCAGTGTTGTTTTTCATGACCCTATGACCTGGTCAAAAATCAAATGGCGGTGATAGTGCACTACTATTTTCTGGAGGATGTTTTGCGGCATGATGGGCAGGAGGCAAGATCCTCTCTGTGCTGCCGTGGGTGGCCTTGTTGGGCTTAGCAGATCTGTGAGGTAAGGTAGCAAGAGGCTGTCCTGCCCCAGCTGAAGACTGCTATGAAGCCATCAACAGCTTGGTGTTGCAAGTCTGACATCAGCGACCCTTTGTCCAGCGAACCCTGTAGGGATACCTAGAATGGACTGGAGTCTTGTGTGCTGCTCCATTCACTCTGAAGGCACATGTTGTCTTAGCTGTTAATACTGATGTACCACATAGAGCTTCTCTGTGCGTAGGCAGATTACTTTAAAATAGACAGACAAAGTGCAATGAAAAAGGGAGCGGGTTGGCAATTCCAGTGAGCCTGACAAGGAAAAAAAAAAATCCCTCATTAGTCTGTCCTGAATGCTGATTGCTGAAAGGAAAACTAGTTGTCTCTAGCAACACATCCTGCTGCCTTCTTTTTCATGTTGTTCTTCATTAGGTCTTAACTTATGTTGATAGAAAAGATTTATCTCAAAAGCTGTTCAAGATGCTTTTGAAGTTCTCTCCCTCATTGAAATGAAAGCCATGCTAGTCAGTTATCTCTTAGTTACAGCAGTCTAAATGCTTCTTCTGTGATACATTTGTCTCTGAGCATGTGGTAGTCAGTGAAGTTGTCTTGATCAAACCCAATGCTGCATCACAGAGCAAGACAACAATCAGTCTTGATGAAGTCACGGGCAGAAAGGCTGATCAGTAAAAAGAAATTGCAATTCTTTTTCTGA